GTGTCTTGTGAATTTTGTCTCCCCTCAAAATGACACCTTGACATTTTGAGGGGGTGAAAGGTGTGTAAAAGTGTCCTCAAAATGTCATGACATCATTTTGAGGGCATTAAATACACACAAACTGTGTTTTGTGAATTTTGTCTCCCCCCAAAATGCCATCATGTCATTTTGAGGGAGTGAAAGGTGTGTAAGGGTGCCTTCAAAATGTCATCATGTTGTTTTGAGGGGTCAAAGGTGTGTAAAGGCACCCTCAAAATGTCATCATGTCATTTTGAGGGAGGTCATTGTGCCAAAATCACACAGATCCTGTGAAATTGTTCACCCACACCCTAATCTAACCCTAATACCCTTAGCTGTTTGCCTATAATATGCAGGATGAGGCCCTTGCATGCTTCTCTTTGCATGTGGCCGCGGCTGCACATCAAGAAAGCTGTGCTCAAGGGGCTGGGGCTGTGCATCAAGAAAGCTGTGCTGCAAGAAAGCTGTGTTGCAAGAAAGCTGTGCATCCCGATGTACTATTGGGATCGTTACAATACTGTTTTATAGGAACTTGGGCCGGCCGATGTGAGAGTGGGCATTGCCGGTCGAAGGGGTGTGGAAGGTGAGTGCAATACTCCAGCCTGCTTCTTGCGAGGAACTGACTTGCTCTTCGCGGTGCCGACAAGCTTTTGTATCCCCAGACTGAAGAGCGTGCCTTTGCCAGTGCGTGGCTTCTTCTTCTCTTCTTCGGCGGCACGCTTTGCAATCGTCGCCTTGCATTTATTCGACTTCTTGTGAATCTTTAGGTTCTCCTCGCCGCCGAAGCCAACGGTTACGATCTCGTGGCACTGTGGGCACTCAAGTGTAGAGTCTGTGTTCCACTAGAATCAGGTAAGCAACCTTCCGCATCAACACAACTGATATTCTGACCTTCTTTTCTGCAGTTTCACCTGCCATCGTCGTGCTAGACGTCCCCGTCGTGACGCTGCGAGCTCAGTGTCTCAGACAATTTGATATATTTGGCAATACCCCTATGGTAGTTACTATAATTGTACATGTACAAAAATGCTTCAAAAAAAAGTTAACGGCCTGACCTCAGACCCCCCCCTCCCTAACCCCTGTTCACCCGAGGTAATCCCGACTACCCCTTGCTGTTTACATACAAAGTATAAATCATATAGGCCCACCTGTACACTTATACAGTATATTATACAGTTGTAAACACATAAACTATTTACGTACACTATATGGTTGGAGCCCTATGTGCATTACAGCGGCCCATCTGTCAATATATCCTCCGCATCTGTGTCCAGTTGACTCTCAGTGACAGATAGCCTGACTTTCAACCAGGTGACCATCTGAGCATCTGGTAAGTCTGGCTATGGACCTCCCAGACACCGACTAAATTGCTGATAATTATATCCTGGAGCTATCTGGGTTGACAAAGATGATAGAACAGGTCCCATATTTTTCCTGTGCCTCAGCCTGGTGTTAGGACCATGTGCTCCTTGTACCCCTATGGCCAAAATACACAAAAAATTGCAGTGCTCACAAGCTCAAGCTTCAAGTGTCGCGTTTTTTCGTGTATTTTGGCCATATCTTGTTTATTTGAGCAGATATGTGCATGTAAATGCTATGGCCATGATGGTAATGTGTCAGAGCACCTGCCCATATCATTTCTAACCGCGGGAATAAACATCGGCTACATGCGGTATCTGCGGTATTTGCGGTATTTGCGGGTTTCCCACGCTATCTGTGCGATCTGCGCAACCTGCGCTATCTGCGCTATCTGCGGGTTCCCACGCTATCTGCGCTATCTGCGGGTTCCCACGGTCACTTGGTGGTCAATAACTTTGCAACATGCACAGTATGCAGTCATGTTGATGGAAAGTGATGATCTTTGGGTCAATTCTGGGGTTATTTGGGACGCTGAACACGATGGAGGGTGTCCCATATTTTTCCCATCCTCCAGTCTGGCAATATGACCATGTTCTCCTCATGGCCCCTTTTAATGGGTTACATCTTCATTAATTCAGGAGAGGAAGTGAGGAGCATATTTGATATGCTCTTTAGGGTTTTCTGTGTTCCTGCATCCATTGGTGCAGAAAATGGGGTTGTGGGAGGTGTGGTTGAGATAATATACCTAGTGTGTGATATCTATGGGAAAATCTCATAAACAGTTACTATATGATTTGAGAAGGTATAAGGATGATATTAGAGTGTATTCTGGGGTTATTTGAGACGCTGAACACGATGGAGAAGACACCATAATTTTCCTGTGCTCCTGTCAAGCAATAGGACCATGTGCTCCTCATACCCCCCTCCAACTGGGTGCTGCTCCATTAATTCAGGGACTGAAGTGATGAGCACGTGTGATGTAGTCCCTGGTGTTTTCAGACATTCCCAATTGACTTATGCAGCTGCTGGTACCATGGGAAGTATGGCTGAAATGATATACCTATTGCCCACAGTACCTGCAGGCAGATCCTATTTGCTGTCACTATGGAGTATGGTGAGGGTGATGAGTGATATTAGGGTGCTTTCTGGGGTTATTTTGGCCGGTGAAGACGATGGAGTAGGTCCCATATTTTGTATGTGCCCCAGTCTGGCATGAGGACCATGTACTCCTTGTACCCCCCCTTCAACTTGGCAGTGCCCCATTAATTCAGGGGCTGAGCCTGGGGACGTGTGCAATGCTTTCCCTGGGGTTTTGAAGGTGTGTGAATGCATTGGTGCACTTACTGCCTCTGTGGGGAGTATGGGCACAATGATACACCTAGTGTGCATGGTCCCTGTGGGCATATCCCATTCACTGCTACTATGGAGTTTCGTGAGGGTGATGAGTAATGTTAGGGCATGTTCTGGGGTTATTTGGGCCGCTAAAGACGATAGAACAGGTCCCAAAATTTTCCTGTGCCTCAGCCTGGTGTTAGGACCATGTGCTCCTCGTACCCCCCCTCAAAGTTAGTGCTGCCACATTAATTCAGGGGCTGAGCATAGGGACATGTGTGATGCTCTCCCTAGGGTTCTCAAGGCGTCTTAATCCATTGGTGCACTCCCTGCATCCATGGGAGGGATGGTTGAAATCATACACTCAATGTGCATGGTCCCTGTGGGCAGATCCCATTCACTGTTACTATAGAGTTTGGGCAGGTAAAGAGGTGGTGTGGGGGTGTATCCTGGGGTTATTTGGGCCGCTGAAAACGATGGGACAGGTCCCATAATTTTCCTGTGCTTCAGCCCAGCGCTAGGACCATGTGCTCCTTGTACTCCCCCCCCAACTTGGCGCTGCCACATTAATTCAGGGAGGGCCAGGAAAAATCGGGGAAGAGTGTTCCCTGGGGTTATCAAGGTCTGTGAATCCATTGGTGATCTCCCCAAGATGATGGGAGAACAAGTGGAGAAGATGTGTGCTGCCCTCCCGGCTCCAATTACGCAACTTGGGGAGGGTGTAGCTCGAAAACGGAACCGCCGATTTCCTTCAAACTTGGGCATTGGGGTACACCCATAGGGTACTATAAGACCCCCAAGTTTCAGAATTTTTGGACATGCCCGACTTTCAATAATATATCAAAATATGGGTATAGTGTATCCCTAACCAAGGCTCACCCTAAGGGGCCACCTTTTGGGCAGTAAGATGTCATGATGACATTTTGGGGGCATTAAACACACACAAACTGTGTTTTGTGAATTTTGTCTCCCCCCAAAATGACATTGTGTCATTTTGGGGGAGGTCATTGTGCCAAAATCACACAGATCCTGTGAAATTGTTCACCCACACCCTAATCTAACCCTAATACCCTTAGCTGTTTGCCTATAATCAGTAATTGCATGTCCTAACATTACGCTGTCAGGTGTTTGAGCACTGTGAGGTTCAAGTTACGAGCATGATTGATGCATTCCCTGGAGATATCAGGGCCTCTGAAGACAACGGCGCTGCATTTGTGGTTGTGGGAGGTACAATCGAAATAGTATCCCTAGTATATGTGGTATCCATAGGCTGATCCTATTCATGGGTACTATGGAGTTAGGGGAGGGTGAAGGACAATATGAGGGTGTTATTAGTAGGTATTAGGGTGGATATGGATGGTGGAGAAGGTCCCATATTTTTCCCGTACCCCAGTCTGGTGTCAGGACGATGTGCTCCTCATACCCCCCTCCAACTTGGTGCTGCACTATTAAACCAGGGATTGAAATCACAAGCATGTGTGATGTGCTCCATGGGGTTTGAAGTTGTTCTAATTGATTTGTGCAGCTGCTGTGTCCAT